CTCTCCCGCGGCTCTTCAAGTTTCCCCTTCTGCCACCACCGGCCCTGGGAAAGGTCACAACTAGGTCTTATTTTCGGGGTAGGTCTTATATTTTAAGAATTCTCAAAAATAGTACTAGGTCTTATTTTCGGGGAAACAGGGTAACTGACAACTTTGTGTAAAAAATAAAATAAAAACAATTCTTTCTTTTTTGATAACTTGTGCCAAAAAATGACATCTTTAAGACACCCCCCATGCATCTTATCAAATACCTTTGGGTGTCTGCTTTACAAAATGGGGTAATTTTGTGGGTGTTTCTACTATACTGGTATTTTATTGTCTCAAGAAAGGTAATCAGGGCACCAGGGTTGATACATTTCCAATTTATAAGGTATATATACCATTGTTTTGTAGACTCTATAACTGTAAGACATTCTAATTAATTTACACTCATTTGGATTTTTTTTTACCAAAGAAATGTAGCAGAACACACTTTTGCCTAAATGTATGAAGAAATATTATTTATTTGCAATGTTTCATTTACATAATTTAAGGAAAACAGGTTTGTTTGTTTTTTAAATCGGTATTTTTTTCTTTATATAGTAAAAAAAAAACCCCGCAGTGGTGATTAAATACCACCAAAAGAAAGCTCTATCTGTCCCAAAAAAATGGTAAAAAATTCATTTCAGTACAGCGTTGCATGACGGAATAAATGTCAATCAAAGTACTGCAGCGCTGATTACTGAAAAATGGCCTGGCCAGGAAGGGGGTGTAAACACCTGGTCTTCAAGTGGTTAATAACCCTTTAATACTCACCTGATCCCTGGAATGACCAACAAGCGCAGACTCCCGTCTCTCAGGCTGTCAGAATATGCATACAGAGCGTGTCGGTATCTATTTAAACCGGCGCGCTGTGTGCAGCTTTTAGCCCCGCTACGCTATTAGCGTAGCAGGGAAGCCATCGCTCATGCTACGCTAATAGCGTATCTTGTGAGAAGCTACACACAGCGCGCCGGTTTAAATAGTAACCGGAACACTCTGTATGCATATTCTGACAGCGTGAGCGGCGGGACACTGCGCTTGTCGGTGGATCAGATCAGGTGAGTATTAAAAAAAAAATATATATTTTATGTTACTGGGACATATTTAAAAATGTCCCGGGATTTTATTTTAAAAATGTCACCTTACCTTAGCCTGGTGGTCAGTGGGGCTCCCTGGACCCTGGTTGTGAGGGGTCCGTTGTGGCTGCAGCTGCTCCATCCCTCTGCCGCCTTTCTGCACATCCTACACTCCCAGCCCCGGGCGCAGGGGCGAACTTACCCCCTTGGAGATCCCCCCACCCCCCTCGCTACGCCACCGGCCAGGAGTGTCGGATGAACCGACACTCCCAGAGCAGAAGGCAGGACAAGTGAACAATCTAGGCCGAAATAGCTGATATGGAAAAATTCAGCTTACTTTCCAGTTCAGCCATGTTGTCCTAGATTGTTCACTTGTCCTGCCTTCTCCAAAATGTTCACCCTTTTGTGAATAACCCTGTTTAGTTGAGCAGAGGATGGCACTGTAATAGAACCACAACTGGATAGAGGGTGTTCTTGAGATCTTACCTGGGATAGACACCAGACTTGTTCCTGGGGTCCGTGCAATCCTGCCACCTCAAAGAGCTCCCCTGGTTCTCCTTCCCAGATAGTTCGGGACCCCACATGTGTCCACATCTGGCCTCTGCAAACTTTAGACCTAGTTAGCTTCTCCAACCTTGGCCCTTGGTCCAGATGGGTTGCCAATAGAGGTCTACAAGAAGTATAAACAATCTATACTGCCTCTTTTACTGCAAACACTCAATGGAGCACTAGACGTGGGATGTCTCCCAAGTACTATGTATGAGGCTACTATTATTGTGCTTCCTAAAAAACATAAAGACCCCCTTCAACCAGAATCCTATAGACCGATCTCACTGTTGAATAATTACGTTAAAATTCTAGCTAAGGTGTTGGCTAATAAGTTGTCTACAAAAATTTAATCTATTGTGCATACAGATCAATCTGGTTTTCTACCTAATAAATCCACTGCTATTAACATACAAAGGGCATATTTGAATATGCAAGTACCTATAGACAATACTGGTAATAGAGCATTTCTGGCATTATATATAGCAAAGGCATTCAATAGGGTTAAATATCTCCATACAAGGGCCATTATATCCGTATTTGGGTTCGGAGCTTGATTTGGTGCTTGGATACATTTACTATATCATACTCTCTCTGCTAAGACTAGGATTAATAATTCTCTTTCTCCTGGCTTTTGTTTACAGAGAGGCACCAGGCAAGGCTGCCCTCTTTCTCCCTTATTGTTCGCATTGGCCATTGAACCTTTAGCTGCCATTATTAGACAGTCTCCAAATATCATAGGTTTTAAAAGAGGTTTGGACGAAGATAAACTTGCACTATATGCAGATGACACCCTGCTTTTTCTGGCAGATACTCAGTCTTCCTTGCGTAGTGTTATTGTACATCTGTCGGACTTTGCTATAGATTCCGGGCTTTTAGTAAACTGGGATAAATCCAATTTGCTTCCTATAGACCCTTTGCAAAACCCATTGGCAGCGGATTTGTCTTGTATTCCTATATGCTCCCGAATTACCTATCTGGGTAGTCAGATGACTCCACAACTTACAGACTGTGCCACACTTAATCTATCTCCATTATTGCATACATGTAGATCTCAAAGAGATGCCTGGCTCAAATTACCCCTTTCAGTGGCTGGGAGAGTAAATATTATCAAAATGATCTGGATGCCACAATTGTTATATATCTTGCACAATTGCCCAATTTGGTTTCCCTCAAAAACTTTTAGACAAATCGACAGTATCCAGGGACCTTATCTAGAAACAAAAGCAAGCCCGATTGAAGTTGGTGACTCTACAAAGACCTACAGATTTGGGAGGCTTAGCTCTTCCCCAAACCTTGACTTTATTTTCTTGCCTCCCAACTACAAAATGTATGCCTCACAACTATCTATTTTGCACAGGACCTATCATACCCCTGAGTTCCTGTTCATGATAGGTGTCTGGACTAACCCTTCTTGTCCAAAATGTGGTTTTAGCCAAGGTTCCCTGATAAATTTATTGTGGAGATGTCCTAAATTGGAACAATATTGGGATGCAGTGCTTAATGTTATTCATTCTGTCTTTGGTATATTGTTAGATAACATACCCAGAGTCTGCATACTTGCAATTTTTGATATCCCTTGGAGGGAATCGTACCTCAAATTGGCTATACACAGAGCCCTATTTACCGCTAGGAGACTGGTGGCAAGGAAATGTATATCCACCATCCCTCCCTCATTATCCGAATGGATTTCTGAGTTAGATAAAATTGTAGTGTTTGAACGCATTACCGATCAATATAGAGGGATTGGTGAAGATAATGTTTTTTCAGTGTAGCCATCTGTGGTCCAGATGGCTACACTATCGTACACATTAACTGCACTCTGGAATTTCTTCAGGTTATTATTTAGACATATGAGGGTCGAATATGTGAGCTCAAAATATAATTTGACTAATCCAGGTCCAAGTTTCTTTCTTTTTGAATTACATCAGTATTGTAAATGTTTATATATGCCCAGGTGAGTTGACCAAAATGAGGTAGTTCCTGGATACTGTTTTATCGATATGTGCATATGGTGGATGTGGAATGTCCCCTTTTGTTTTGTGTTATTGGTTTTGGTTGTTTATGTATTTATGTTATATTTGTTGTTATATATATATTTGTTCATATTGTCTGTTTAACCACCTCCCGTCCGCCGATTGTTGAAAGACAGCTGGACGGGAGTCTCCTGGATGCGGGTCGGCGTCTTTAGACGTCCTTCGTGCCAGCTAGCGCGCGCACGAATGAGAAACCGCCTGGATTTTAAATGGCCAGCGATGGCCGTTTACATAGAAAGCGGTCCGGCGTCTGTAAAGACGCCCAATCGCTTGTATGATTCAAGTGAGGGTGCGCCCCCCTCCTCTCCTTACCTCTGGTCGCCGTCACTGTCCCCGCCAACGTCCCCGCGATCCCGGGCGTCCATCCCGGGCGATGTGGCCGCTCTGTGCACTGAGAATGGAGGGAGATCAATACCCGTTCTCCCTCCGCTCTCCTCCTGGTTTTTGAATGCAGGAAGTGATGTATACTACATAACTTCCGCATTCCTCTGTCACTCTCCGGTACAGAAACCGGAGAGAAGCTGATGTAGCAGATCTCTGCTTCATCAGCTTCTCGGGGGGTCCCTAGGTGACATTAGGGGTCTTAGAGACCTCTGATGTCTCCATAAAGGGGACCTGTAACTGTAATTTGTTATCATATAGGGAACTTCTTAGTACCCTATGTGATTACAATAAACTTAAGTGTAAAAAAAGTTTAAAAATAAATAAAAATGTACACACACAAAACTAAAAAAACCCCCCACAAAATGTTTTTAAAGTCCCCACATAGATGCGCAAAAATGCGTTACTGGCGCCTACATGCAAAGTAAGCAAGTGGTTAAAGAAAAACTCAATAAAAATGATCTGACAAAAAAAGAGATACAATTTCTAAATAGAAGTAGCAGAGCATGCACGTGACTGTGCCTATACACACTCTGCTCTTCTACCCTCCATGGAGCCTAACAAGATTGTTAGGCATACCTTGTCCACTCCAGCTTTGATTTCTCAATTCCATTGATTGTGTTATCAAAGGGCTGGGTCTAGGAACAGATAGAGCTGTTCTTCAGAGACACTATAGCAGGGATGAAAAAGTTGCACTATGGGCAAAAGAACAGCTCCAGTATTCCTACTGTAATGCTATAACATTAATAACTTACATGTCTCACACCCTTTAAAGAATAAAGAATAAAGTTGCCCACGTCTAGGTTCCTTCAGAAAAATTTCATATTGTCATGGGGTTGTATCTATAAAGAGGAGCCAGGAAATCTCTGTTGTATAGTTCATATATTAATATGAAATTAACACACAACTTACTTTCTTATCTCCTTCACCAAAACATACAGTATGTGGACGGTTATACTGTTTAGGACATAGGCGTTGACTGTAGGCTTCACAAATGACATCAGTGTACTGATTACTGCTATGATGAAGATGACTGTGCAAAACTGACCCCTGTCACATAACAAGAAATATCAGTAGGTTACTAAAATAACAAAAACCACAACAAGCAAATTAAATCATCTACAACAGTACTGGTGAGCACCGAAACATAGTGAGGTAAATGTATAAAGTATGTATAGTATGTAAATAGTGACAGACTGACCTAAATCATGATGGATGCCACGGATCAGGTCTCACAGGTATGCAGGGCCACTGTCAGGGGGGTACGGCCGTACAGGTGACTGGCAGGAGGTGGAGGCGGCCGTGCCCCCGCAGCACCGGAGGAAGCCGCGGACCGCACACTCGAGATCCTCACCTGGGGTGCTCTGTGCGGGCCTCCGGTGTCCCCCTGTCTCCATTGCAGTGACTGACTGCACAGTAGGTTTTTAAAGATGGCCGCGGCGATTAGCGTCGGCCATCTTTAAACCTGGCAAGTCCCCGAAACGGCAATATATTAAATGAAAATAATTCCCTGGTGGTCCAGTGGGGAATCAGTATGATCTGCATCGCTTGCTGATGCAGATCATACTGATCGCTCCGTCGTGGTGCCACCACTGACAGGCAGGGAGCGTTTAGTATGGTCTGCATCTGCCTGAGATGCAGATCACACTGATCCTCCACTCGGCCATCAGGATAATCCCCAAGTGCCATACTGGACCCCAGGAATGCAGCCCCCCTTCCTGCAAAACAGGTAAGCAGGAGAGGGGGACATTTTTTAATTATTGTTATTAGTTGTGTGTTTTTATTGTGTGTTTTTTTTACGTGTGTGTGTGATTTTTTTTTTTTAAATTAATGAAGGTGTGTGTGTGTTTTTAATGAGTATGTTTCATTACATGTGTGTTTTTTTTAACCACTTCCCGCGGGTTCATGTAAATGTACGTGCTCCGCTGGAAGTGGTTATACCAAGAATATGGCTGCTCCTGCAGCCGTGCTCTTGGTACCGTTTTAAGGCCTGTTCACACCACTTGCAGTACGTTCCGGCCGGAACGCACTGCATCGCATTGCGGCCGGCTCACTTTTTGGCTGGGCAGGAGGGGGCCTGGCGGGCCATTGAAGTGAATGGCACCATAGCCACGCCCTCCGGCCGCAATGCGATCGCCCACACGGCATCACAAGACACATTCCGATTAAATGCTCAATGGCCCACGACGCCCCCCCAGCCGGGGAAAAAAGTGAGCTGGCCGCACCATAAGCGCACTGCGTATGGTGTGAACTAACCCTAAGCCCTGCTTCCATACTCGTTTCGGAAAAATTAGTTTTCTGGACAAAATTTGTTAGCGGTAGTCTGTACGCATTTTCGTTTGTGGACGAATTTTCATTGCAGCAAAGTGAAAATAAAAAAATAAAAACATTTTTAATGTCACTTTGCTGCAATGAAACGAACCATACGAACATGAAATGGAAATGAACATTCGTACAGACTACTGCTAATGAATTTTGTCCGAATCCCGAAAAACTAAATAACGAGAAATCCGAATCAAAACAAGATGAAACTAAACAATTTTTTTGCCGGTGCACATGTCTAATGTCCAGCGGGTCACGAAGCTCTGCATCCAGTGGGTCACGAAGCCCTGCGTCCAGCAGGGTCACAAAGCCCTGCGTCCAGCGGGTAATGTGACTGTGGGGGGGACATTAGAGTGTAAGCTCCTCTGTACAGAGACTGATATGACTGTGGGGGGACATTAGAGGGTAAGCTCCTCTGTACAGAGACTGATGTGACTGTGGGGGAGACATTAGAGTGTAAGCTCCTCTGTACAGAGACTGATGTGACTGTGTGGGGGACATTAGAGGGTAAGCTCCTCTGTACAGAGACTGATGTGACTGTGTGGGGGACATTAGAGGGTAAGCTCCT